AATTCACATAGGGTTTAAACAGCAGGATAGCCAGAGTTGTATTTTGGAAAGCTCATTCCTGACTGTATTGTGGCAGAGGCAGAGAGGAAAACCTAGAGCAGCACTGTTCAACAGAACTTTCTATAGGAATGTCCTATAATTTGTGCCGTCCAATATGACAGCCATTAGCTAACATGTTGCTAACGAGAACTTGAAATGTGGCTAGTGCAACTGAGGAACTACACTTAAAATTGTATTTAATGTTAATCTGAATAGTCACATGTGGCTAGTGGCTACTGTATTGGACAGTGCAGCTTCGGTGATAGGGAAAATCAGTTAGGAAGCTGTTGATACAGCTCAGGTGACAGGACAAGGACACAGTGTGATTCAATGGATATTTTAGAGGCAAAATAAGTTAGTGGATATAAAGTTGTGAGAAAAAGAAATCAAGACTGGGCTCCCAAATTCCACGTTTTGTCACTGAATAGCTGCCATTAGCCAGGATAGTGTGCATACAGATTGTATCAATTTTTTTTTAAAGATTTTATTGGGGAATTGAGGAAGGGGAATAATGCTGAGGAATCGGGGGAAGGGGAACAGACAAGTTGCTGTCCCTTTGTTCTTCAGTCTAGTTGTGGAGGACGTTGCTTCACTGGCCCATGTTGGTATTATCATTGCGCTCTTCCTGGGTGAGGCAGATCGGTCGCTGGCCTCTGGATGGCAGCTCACAGCGGCTCTTGGCAGCTCATGCTGGCTGCCAGCCGCTCACGCTGGCTGCTGGCCACACATGGTAGCTTATGGCAGCCCACTGCAGTAGGGGCTGCAGCCCACGTGGTCGCCAGCGGACTCACGGCAGCCCAGCTCCAGGTCGAGCTGTTGTTCACCATCTTAGCTGTAGAGGGCAGTGTCATTGGCCCTCATGTGGGATCCGAACAGGGGCCCTGCTGCTCAGAGCTAGTGTCCCAAGCCAGCTCTTAACCAACGCGCCACTTGGCCGGCCCTGTATCAATTTTTTTATGTATGAGTTTATTTGAACCAAACTGACTACATATGCTGGGGAGCAAGATCTCAAATGCTCCCCAGATTGCATCAATTTTGAACAGGTTAAAATGTCTGTGGTTATCCAAGTGGTAATATTTAGTAGCAAGTTTAGCTCAGGAGAGTTTTCTGAACTAAAGATACAGATTTAAGAGGCTTTGAGTCATTGAGTGAGATTAGAGAAGATGAACAGAACTAGAAGTAAACTGAGGCAAAACCCTGGCAAACATCAACACTTAGGAAGGAACTAAAGGAAAGAGCATGAAGAGGACTGGAGAGGGACAGCTGGACAAGTATGGACAGAAACAAGTAAGACTGGTCACAGAAATCAAGGGTGTAGAGAATTTCAGGAAGGAAGCATGATTAAGTGTCAAACGCCTCAGAGAGGTCAAATAAGGTGAGAACTGAAAAGCGCTTCCTGCTTTTGCCAATTAGGAGGTCCTTGGTGACATTTACCAGAACAGTTTCAGTAGTGGAAGAAATGGGCTGATGAGTGGGGATGGGGCCGAAAGAAGAAAATTTAATGGTAATTTCAGGTCTAGACAACGCAGGGAGCTGAGAGGTAAATGAGTCTGTAAGGGGATACAATATTAATAAGGTTATTTTCTTTCTTTCTACGGGGAAACTGTAGAAAGGAGTTAAAAATGCCAATAGGTAGAAAATAGAGGATAGCTTCGGAGTAACAGATAAGGCCGACCAGGTCAAAAGAAAACGAATCTCCTTAAACAGAAGAGAGGACTTCTGGTGCAACGGTAAAGGGATACAGACATGGCCCATGTAAAAGGAAAGCAGAGCGCTGCAAGCTGGCCTTTCTGTTCTGCTCTGATGGCAGGGAGTAGCGGCGGCGGGGGGTTTGTGAACTACAGAACAAAAATTCACACTAGATGAGGGTCAAGGGAGATTACTGGCTTTAAACAAGTAAAAGGTCTGCTTCAGGTGGCAACTTAATCACCGAAACATCCCTAAATTAGATGTTTATGGGGCTGATTCAAGATCGAGAGAGTAGAGGGCAAAGCCTTAGGAAAAACTGTTAAGAGTTTTAATTTAAATGGTCGAGCCCGAGATGAGTAAAGAAGTAAAAGTGCTCAGAAGGCCGGTAAATTTTGTAGAAAGCAGGAGTCCAGGAACTAAGAGGTCTCAATGAAGTACTAAAGTTTGGGTAGTAGGCTCAAGGGAATTGAGAGGTTGTAAAACTGCTTAAGACAAAGATGCGAAACAACGCCCACATCTTGCATCCGCACCTCATTTGCCCAAGCGCGGCAGGCACCACAAGGGTAACAAACTCCCTCTCCTGTGGTCCAGCAACACTACACCGGGGAAGGGTCTCACCCTGCAAACCCTCACATCTCCAGGTCCAGGCCCCATTCTACTTCACTGACAACAGTTCGGTGGTGCACATTTCCGCTGGACTCCAGCCAGGACATGCAAAGCTGCACCTTACACCTACGGAAAATGAACCGAGTCAGGCCTGCGCGGGACACCGCGCGAACCGGCGGATAGCAAGGAAAGGGATACCAAGACAGGAGGTCGGAGGGCCGCGCCCGCTTTCACCCCACCCACCGCGCGCGCTCCCGGACCCGCCGCGGGAGCTGAGGCGCCCAGCCTGAACGCCTGCGCACTGCTGCTCTGCCCGCGACCTCCTTTCCCCTCCCCCAATCCGGTCGCACCCTTGCGCCTGCGCAGTGCACGTTCCCGGGCTGCGGCAGCCATGCTGAACCCATACAGAGAGGCGAGTGGGGGGGTTGGGGGGACAGGATCGTTGACAGTGGGATGGGGAGCCGGGATATGGAGAAGCAGCTGCATTAGATTGCTCCGGGTCTCTGGAAATCGGCCTGGGCCAGGCAGTTCCCTTGGCCTCTTGTGCGACCCCCAGGAACCTTCGGAAAACTGGTCCCGTGGGGGAAAGGGGAGACGGCTGGCACGTGACCCGGGTCAGCCAATCTGGGTGTTGCTGACGTGGCCGCGCGGCCCCGATGATCTCCCCACCCCCCCAGCTCTGTCGAGAAGGGAGGGGCTGGGGGCTACGCCCCCTCCCCCAACACAGTTTCAGTTTCCGGGGGGGGTGACACCCCGGATTACATCCTCCCCCCGCACCAAGCCGAGGGGAACATTGGATCCCCCCTGGAAGATTCCACTGTCCAGGTAAGAAGGGGACCTTGGACAGATGTTGCCAGTCATCCAATGGGGGCAGAGTCCGGGAGGGAAATTCTTGGGGTTCAGAGTAGAATCCTGAGGGTGGGTTTGTCCTTCTAGTAGTTCATAGCCAATGGGAGCGTGAAGGGAGGGGGGCGAGCGGGAGAGGGCACCTCTGATGGGGGAGGGGAATGACCAACCTCAAATCTCCATACTAACTGGAGGGCAAAGGGGCGGGGGCGGTGTGCACCCCCTCCCCCATTCCATTCGTCCCCTGGGGGGTACAGAAGCCCGGAGCCAGGTGAGAAGGTTTCCTTTCGGCGGTTGGAGGGAAGGGTGACCTAGTGGGCTGAGAAGTGGGAATGGTGACTAGTTCCTTCTTTGGGAGATGTGGTTTAGGGTGGACAACCCGGGGTGTAAACTGAGATTGTTCCCAGACCCCCACTCCCTTTCTGCCCGAACTCTGGAAGGAGCATTTCTGTGCTTCCTTTGTGTCAGCGGTAGGAAGCTCGCAGTTATCACATGGCATGCTGAAGGTTATCTTGGAGTCGCTTGTCGAATTTGTGGGCATTCACGTGGACATGGCCTATGGCACCTTCTGCACATAACTTCGTTGCCCTGTTGGGGGTCTTAACTGAGCATATGTCTCCCCCAGGCTGAGGAGGGCTTACAGGCTGCAAACTAGGGGTCAGCTTGAGAGCAGAAACCAGGCCCAAGGTGGGTGCTGGGAGGGCGGTAAAAAGCGTGGTCTGAGACTTGAGGGAGTGAGGCTTAGGATCTGGAATCATTTCACAAATCACAAGGTTTCGGATTTCTCCTAGGTGGCGGGTTTCTCCATGGTGGCGTTTTTTTCCTTCCATCATCCCCTCCCCCATTCCTGAACAGTTCTCTCCTTGTGTAATGCGGGGGAGGGAACGGAAAGGAGGGAAGAGTTACTTTTCCAAATTACTGATTAGCAGTAGCCTCCTCTGTGACTCATGTGGGGGAAGGGAGGACTGGGAGGGAGCGGGGAGCAGTGACTTTCCGGAATGCAGGGAAGTAAGCCAGAGTAATGTGTGGCTGCCCTTTCGCTTTCTAAGACCCACTGTTTTCTCACTCTTCTAAATTTTTCTTTCCTGGCCGGCCTCGGTGAAAACTTGCAAGGCCCCGGGTGGAGAAAAACAGATTTGGGAGGCTGAGCCACTGGAAGGAGGATGGGGGGAGGGGAAGAGGCCTCTGCAAAGTTGCTGTGTCATTGCCCTCCCTGCTGCAGCCACTCGGCAGGCCCGCGTGTACTTTTCGGGCCGAGGCCTGATCTCTGGCGGAAGTGGGGGTACGAGTCTGCTTTCCCGGGCGCACTTCCCCCCGCAGGGTTTGCCCGACTCGGGAGGTGGTGGAGACAGGAGAGTGACGGCCATTTTAGACGCAGTAACCGAGGTTAGGGCTCAAAAGCTGTTAAGAAGGATGTGGTAGGAGCTCAAGGATCTTCTAGGCCCTTACGAGCCCATCCAGAGGGAGTTCTTATATTCGTTGACTTGCATTAATTTCTTTTCTGATATGCATCGTGTTTTCTTCCTTGGTATCCAGAAAAAAGGAAATGGAGGGGGTTACCTCCCGCTGAAACTCGAATGGGGGAAATGCTTTCACTCTCCCGTACGGGGGCGGGGAGCCCCAGAGGTGGCTTTAGAGATCCAGACCGTGTGCTCTGGCTCTTTATTCATTCGTAGTTTAACCCTATTCAGATAATAAGATTGTGGGGAAGACAGATAAGTGGATTGGGGGGAGGGGGAGAAACTGAGCTCCCAAAATGGCTCCTGCCCCTCCTCGGAGGCTGACGGCCCGGGGGGAGGGGAGAAAGGGAGAGAAGGAGGGGGAGGGCTAGTGAGCCGCAGCCGTCGCCTCCTCCTCCGCTCGCCCTCCCTGGCGCTGACCGATGGACCAGCTGCTCCGTGGGGAGGACTCCGGACCCTGGTGGGGGGATGGGGGCCCTTCCGCCCCTGTTGTGGAGGGACCCTAAGAGGGGTTTGCGGGCATGCCCTCGGGGAGGAGGTGGCGGGGAGCGTGAGGAAAAGTCTGAGCTCTGAAGGTGGTGGTAGTGGTGGTGGGGGGTTCACCCTGATTCGCCCCTCGCAGTACTTGATTTTTCCGCTGAGCCAGCCACCGGAATGAAGTTTGGGGAGGAGGTGGGTTTCATATAGGTGTGTTTGGAGATTTTGCTCTCATTTTAAAGGATTGCCGAGGTTTTGTCGAGCAGGCAGGTATTTGTATTGATAACTGAAGGTATGAGTGGAGTGGTCCTTGGGGTGCAGGTTTTTTTAATGAATTCTAGGTTTGGTTACCTTGCTGGTAAAGCAGTTTTGGGGATTTCAAAGATAGATTCAGAGGATTGTTTTGTCTTTAAAGTTATTTGACCTGGGGGAGGGTGGGGACGATTTTAAGACTGGCAAGCCTGTATTTGATTGTGGAACATAGTAGAGACGTTAGATTCCCGTTTTCGTTACGTTCGGGAGCCCTTAACTGTTTATCCAGAGTACCAGGCCGCGGCTTTTAAGATGGCGTCTTCTTCCTTGTTTCAGATTCTTCATTGCAGCGGCCTCACTGCCGAGAACCACCACCCTCCAGGCGTCCTGCGGCCACACCCTGGCGGGCCGAAGTTGGCTACGCCCACACAGGCCCCTCCAGTCCTGCCGGTTTGGCCAATGGAGGAGCAACGACCTGCCCGAGCTTGGGAGTCGCCAGTCGCACCCGGCCTGGACTCCTGGGAAGACTTTGTTGGAGGGGGAGTTGGGGAGAGGGTGCTGCACCCCTGCCAACCTCCTCCTTTCCCTGGAGTCGCCGAACCCCAGCGCAGCCAATTGGCTCGGAGATATGGCGGGTTGCCGCTTCCCAGTGGGTCTATGCGGCACTCTTTTGCCTGGTGACTGACGCCTTGGAAATGAGGTTTGTGACGTCATCGCTTCGGCCGACCAATAGAAGACGCTCCCGCGGAGAGGCGTTCCTCCCCTTTCGACTGGGCGGCTTCATGCGCGTGAGCGAGCGCGCGCGCGCGGAGAGGGTGGGGAAAATCTCGAGCACGGTGGCGCGCATGAGCGGCGAAGCTCCTCCCCCCTGCCTATATATAAAGGGCTGGCGCGGGGCTCGGCGGCGCCATTTCGCGCTGGAGTGGAGCAGCCTCTAGAACGGGCTGGAGGATTCTGCCTACTGATACAGCCTTCGGGTCGTCGGGGCCCGCCATTACAATCCACGTCCATCCGCTTGGAAATGGCCTTCGTCTCGGCCTATGACCGGTCCCGGCGGGCAGTACAGACCCCGTAGAAGCCCCCGAAGCTCCCCTTTTTCGGGCCCCGCCCAATCCTCGGAATCTGTCCACCCCCTCTACTCCGCCCTCAAGAGGATTTCAAAGATGGAGGCGGCGGCTCCCTAAACCACTTTCCGTGTTCATCCGCCTCCATCGAGATCGAAACGGGACCTCGTCCGCTCCGGACAGTCCCAGCAGGAAGAGGGGATTCTTGCAGACCAACAGCAGGCAATATTGACGACGGTGTCTGGGATCGGGGGCCTTCCTAGGGTTTGAAGAGTCCGTTCCCCCCTTTGCTCGCCCGACTTTGCTGAGGCCGCCGCCATTTTCTCGCTGTCCGCCTCCTGCGGAGCGCGCCAAGCTGCCGGGAGCTTTCCGAGAAGCAGTGGAGGAGACTGCTTTCGTGCCAGCCCGGTGGGAGGGTTGTCGCCTGGAGAGCAAGGGCGGCGGGCCCCCCCGCCCCACTTCCCGGGTTATGCTGGACCGGGCGGTAAGGGGAACCGAGGCCACCCGGACTTTCCGCGGTTGAGGGCAGCGCCGGTTCCCCACTGTCAAGATGCTGCAAAACGTGACTCCCCATAACAAGTACGTCGTCGGGAATGGGAAAGGGATGTTGGGGGTAGTGGCACTGGGTCGTGTAGGACGTTGGGTTCCGAGAGAATGTGGAACGACTCGGCCGCGTTGCTGTTCGGTGGCGCGACTGTTGGCTCTCTGGGGGCTCGCGAAGGGGGTTGAGCGACGGTTTTGGAATCTTGGTAGGGTCCCAGGCACTGCATATGGAGGGAGTACAGGTTGTCAGTGTGTGTGTGACTTTCCCCGCGGTGTTCCAGTCTTAACCGAGTTGGGCAGAGCTAGGTTGGTGGTGGAACGTAATGAAGAAGGATGACATTGATTGGGCAGCAGATCCCATGGGTCTGGTGTTTAGAGGCGGTTTGTCATAGTTCTTACGGGGTTTCATGGTCATGTCTTGTGCCTTGTAGGGTTGCCATGGTGATAGGAGCTTCAGGGATTGGCAACAGGAATTCCCAGGGTAGGGTAGTGGGATTACTGTTCCAGCCTGTGGGTTCCTACTGTCTAGGGTAGGTCGTTAAGCTCCTTGTCTTTCAGTGACTAGGTCGGTTTTGTGTATGTGTGTGTGTGTGGGGGGGGGGTTGACAGCGTTGAGGTTTTTTAAAGCGGGAAGGTGGAGCTAAGTAAGGATTCTTTAGTCCAGCTCTCTTCTCATGTAAACAATGAGATTTCAGGGTAGTGCCTTTAGCCTTAGGTCCTGGGGAAACACCTGGTCCTGAGGAGCGCCAGAGAGAATGTAAACTTGAACTACTGTTGGCTTTTGATCTCCAGAGTTGATGTTACAGTGGGAACTATTGGAATCGTGTATTTTGGCAGGATTTGGGGGGTGGTCTGTGCACTTCCATCAGGGAACTTACTGACCTTGACTGGGCTCTTTTTTTTGAATCCCTAGGAAAGGAGACTGACATTGCAGATAGTTTCTGGGGGCTGGTAGCAGTTATTCCAGGCTGTGAAGTCTGACATGTCCTTGACTGATTCCCTTTTTTTTTTTTTTTAAGTTGGTGTGGTTTTCCGTTAGATTTTTTATCTATTTTTCTGCTTTGAAGTTATGCAGAGCTTGTGGAAGTTGCTGATCTCTTCTGTTCAAACGGAGCCTTAGGCAGCTCATAAGCATTTTATGAAATCTTCCGTACCCTTTCTCTTTTCACCTGCTTCTCTCAGGCTCACCCACCATAGCAACCACCAAGCCCCTAGTGAGCTCTGGCTTGAGTTTCTTTGCTCCACCCATTTTATTTAAGTCCCATCATCATGGGCCTGTGGTTCTAAAATGCTGCATCTTATAAGAAACTACCTTGGGGTGGTTTTTTTTTTTTTTTCTGAGTAAAAAAAAAATAATAGAGCCTATCAGACTCCAGAAGGTGGGGGACCTAAATAGGTATACTAAAAATAAAAAGTGGGAAGGGAGACTATAACAGAAGCCCTGGATGTTTGAACGTTGCTTGTAGTTAGTATCCGCTTCCATAAGCTTGTCCACCTCTCACTAGTTCCCAAGCCTGGATTTATTGGGTATGTAGTGTAAATTGCACCCTGCTTAATTTCTGTGAGCTCACTACATCTAATTTTGTTTCCCATTTTCACAGGCTCCCTGGGGAGGGGAATGCAGGGTTATTGGGGCTGGGCCCAGAGGCTGCAGCACCAGGGAAAAGGATTCGAAAGCCCTCCCTATTGTATGAGGGTTTTGAAAGCCCCACAATGGCTTCAGTGCCAGCTTTGCAACTGACCCCTGCCAACCCACCGCCTCCAGAGGTGTCCAACCCCAAAAAGCCAGGACGGGTTACCAACCAGCTGCAGTACCTGCACAAGGTGGTGATGAAGGCTCTGTGGAAACATCAGTTTGCATGGCCCTTCCGGCAGCCTGTGGATGCCGTCAAACTGGGTCTGCCGGTGAGTAGAGAGGTTGGAGTGGGGAGGTGTGGGAATGAACACGAATGCGTGCGAGTGGAGGTGGGCTGTCTGTAGTGTAGGTGCTGCGGCCCCTAGGGATTCTCTGTTCCTCTCTTGTAGGGTAGATAGCCACAGGATTTCTGCATTCTTGGTCCTTTGTGATTGATCCAACCGTTTGCTCCCTTGGCATCTCTCATTGTGCCCTCCGTGTGTCCTTCCTTAACTTTTGTGCCCTGGCTCCATTTTACAGATTCCCACCCCGGGTTGGGAGAGGACCACGGTGGCCAAAATTCTTAGCTTCTTCCTCTCCCTCATGCAGCCCATGGATAGCCAGCCCCAGAGGTAATGTCACAGGATGGGAAACCTTCCAGAATTGGGTGGGAGGTGGGTGGTTAGAGAAAGGCAGTAGGGGCCTCCTGCTGGGTGTTAAGAATTCTATTCCATTTTTTTTTTCTGTCCTGTAGTTTAATTGGGGCCGCAGTATAGGGCATTGTTTACTCCTTTGACACATAGGGGGTGTGTATGTGCGTGAATGTGTGTTGGGGTCAGTAGTTTGCCTGGGAGAACAGGCATCTTTCAGTGGCTCTGACCTCATATTTCTTTTTTTAGGATTATCATAAAATTATAAAGCAGCCTATGGACATGGGTACTATTAAGAGGAGACTTGAAAACAACTATTATTGGGCTGCCTCAGAGTGTATGCAGGATTTTAACACCATGTTTACCAACTGTTACATCTATAACAAGGTGAGTTTTTCTGTATGTTCCTTAGTAGATGGAGAGACAGTGCTCCTATTGTTGCTAGATGTCTTGTCTACACAAAGTTGAAGTCTTACTACAGGAGGTGTTCTCAGAGTAGTTAGGATCTAGAAAGTCTAAGCTCCAAAGGGTACCACTGAACACAGCGATGTAGCTTCAGAAATCCAGTGTTAAAGGTTATTTAAGTAAAACACATTTCATGCTTGGGGATGGCTGTTTCTCAGAAATTTGCAGAGACCTGAGTAGAACAGGATCTATTCCCTGATTTCTGAATTTTCTTTGTAGCACTCTGTCAGAGGGAGAGCGTTGGAAGATAAAATGGGAATTAGTAGCCCAGTGTAGGTAATTTTTAGTACTAGATGGTGGACTTATCTAAGGGCGTGGTGATGGTGCCTGGAACTAGGAATTCCTTTAAAAAAATACAGTTCTGTCTATGTTTAACTGGCATTTGAACCTTTTTGTTTGTTGTAGCCCACTGATGATATTGTCCTGATGGCACAAACGCTGGAAAAGATATTCCTACAGAAAGTGGCATCAATGCCACAAGAGGAACAAGAGCTTGTGGTGACTATCCCTAAGAACAGCCACAAGAAGGGGGCCAAATTGGCAGGTAAGAAGAGTGGGAGTTTTGCTAATGGAGGCCAAAAGATGGGAAAGATGATGGAACTAATCTCTTTTTTTCTTTCTCTAGCACTCCAGGGCAGTATCACCAGCGCCCATCAGGTGCCTGCTGTCTCTTCCGTATCGCACACAGCCCTGTATACTCCGCCTCCTGAGATACCTACCACTGTCCTCAACATTCCCCACCCATCGGTCATCTCTTCTCCCCTTCTCAAGTCCTTGCATTCCGCCGGACCCTCACTCCTTGCTGTCTCTGCAGCTCCCCCAGCCCAGCCCCTTGCCAAGGTATAGATCTGTGGAATTCTTTTGGGCAGTGGGGCTGGAAAGCTTGAATGAAGTGGACCTGGAATAAAAAGCTCGCATCTTGTTTTTCTCCGCAGAAAAAAGGGGTAAAGCGGAAAGCAGATACTACCACCCCTACACCTACAGCCATCTTGGCTCCTGGTTCCCCAGCTAGCCCCCCAGGGGGTCTTGAGCCTAAGGCAGCACGGCTTCCTCCTATGCGCAGAGAGAGCGGCCGCCCCATCAAGCCCCCACGCAAAGATTTGCCTGACTCTCAGCAACAACACCAGAGCTCCAAGAAAGGAAAGCTATCAGAACAGTTAAAACATTGCAATGGCATTTTGAAGGAGTTATTGTCTAAGAAGCATGCTGCCTATGCCTGGCCTTTCTATAAACCCGTGGACGCTTCTGCTCTTGGCCTGCATGACTACCATGACATCATTAAGCACCCCATGGACCTCAGCACTGTCAAGGTATCCACTGCATGGGGCAGCTGGGCTGCTCAGGCAGTGATTGGAGCCTAGGGAGCAATAAACAGTCATTTTTCCTCATGGGCATGTGGCAATCTTTGATTGTTGGTATTTTCCTTTTACAAAATAAAAAAAATAGTAATGGGGCAGGTACTTGATAAGAGTCCCTAATTCAGGGAGTTTGAAACGGGTTATGTCTTCAGAGCAACACTACTCATTAAATCCTACAATTAATCTTACTACTGCAGTTAAACCCTACTTATTGGGAGTGTTGGGTTTGGGGAGTTAAAAGGGTGGGACGATAGTCAGGGCCACCCACCCTCCCTATCACTTAGAAATGATTTTTTTCCCAGACATAGATATTTCTTCAACCCACCCAAGTACCTTTGACTTCAAACTTGAACCCCAGGGCACAGATCCTTAAAGTCATCCTTACTGTGCTCTCAAAAGAGGGCTGCTCTTGCGGTATCTGGGGTTGGCAGGAAAAGGTGAGTCTCCTGCCTGTGCAGCTTCTGATGCTGCCTCCTTCTGCAGCGGAAGATGGAGAATCGGGATTACCGGGATGCACAGGAGTTCGCTGCTGATGTGCGGCTTATGTTCTCCAACTGCTATAAGTACAACCCCCCAGACCATGATGTTGTGGCCATGGCACGAAAGCTACAGGTGAGTGCGTCAGGGTTGGAGTTGGAAGAATAAACCAGTCTGGGGAGGGATTCTTGTCATCTGTGCTGTGAGCACAATCTCATCGTGAGGCTCTCCTAGTCTTTACAGTTGTAAACGAGCTAAACCAGGTGGCTGGGTGTAACCGGGGCACTGTCCCCCAGCATGGTTTTGAGTCTGCCTCTCTTTGTAGGATGTGTTTGAGTTCCGTTATGCCAAGATGCCAGATGAACCACTGGAACCAGGGCCTCTGCCAGTCTCTACTGCCTTGCCTGCTGGCCTGGCCAAATCATCTTCAGACTCCTCTAGTGAGGAAAGTAGCAGTGAGAGCTCTTCTGAGGAAGAGGAGGAGGAAGATGAAGAGGATGAAGAGGAAGAAGAAGAGAGTGAAAGCTCTGACTCTGAGGAAGAAAGGGCTCATCGCTTAGCTGAACTACAGGAACAGGTATTCTGTCACCATTCAGTTTACTGAGTGAGACTCATGCCCTCTTGGCCCCAATTTTTCTTCGGTTTTTTTTGTTTTTTGTTTTTCTTTTTTAGATGTGTTTTTCCCATTTCATATCTTGGTTCTTTTTCCTGTCTAGCTTCGGGCAGTACATGAACAACTGGCTGCCCTGTCCCAAGGCCCAATATCTAAGCCTAAGCGGAAGAGAGAGAAAAAAGAAAAAAAGAAGAAACGGAAGGCAGAGAAGCATCGAGGCCGGGCTGGGGTAGATGAAGATGACAAGGGGCCTCGGGCACCCCGCCTTTCTCAGCCCAAGAAGTCCAAGAAAGCAAGTGGCACTGGGGGTGGCAGTGCTGCCACACTAGGCCCCCCTGGCTTTGGATCTTCTGGAGGAAGCGGCACCAAGTGAGTTCTTATAGGATAGGAGGCAGAGGCGAGCTTGGCTCTTTCTATAATCTGTTCAGGGAAGGACGCTCTCTACCATTCCTTCTCAAATTTTCTCTTAAGTCACTGGTTAGCAGATGTTTCCTATAAGTGGCCAGGTGATAGACACGGACTTTGAGACCATGGGGTCTCAAAGCTACTCTGCTCTGACAGGACAGTGCAAAGGAGCCACAGGCAATAAAGATGTGAACATGAATCTATGTTCCAATAAAACTTTATTCACAAAAACAAATGGTAGACCAGATGTGGCCCCAGGGCCATAGTTTGCCTCCTCTCTTCTCTAAACCAGTCCATGCTTTTGTTTTCCATGGTGGGGTGGGTTAGTAGTGCTTTAGGAACAAAAAGATGCCCTCTTGCCAGCACACCTATATCTAGTTTTTAAAGCACAAGATAAATGTAAAATGGGTGGCATGTAAGAATCTGTTTCCCTGATACTGTGTCCCAATAGCCCATCTCTGGCTCAGTCATTTGCCTTAATGGAAAAGCAAGCTCCACGCCAGACGTGCAAATGCAAAGTATTGGATTGAATAGTGGGAACATGTGGTTGGGGTGCTTCTGTAACTGGGGTTTTTTTTTTTTTTGCCCGTAGACTGCCCAAAAAGACCACCAAGACAGCCCCACCTACCTTGCCTACAGGCTACGATTCAGAGGAGGAAGAAGAAAGCAGGCCCATGAGTTACGATGAGAAGCGGCAGTTGAGCCTGGACATCAACAAACTGCCTGGGGAGAAGCTGGGTCGAGTTGTGCACATAATCCAAGCCCGGGAGCCATCTTTACGTGACTCGAACCCAGAGGAGATTGAGATTGATTTTGAAACGCTCAAGCCATCCACGCTTAGAGAGCTTGAACGCTATGTCCTGTCTTGCCTACGAAAGAAACCTCGGAAGCCCTACAGTAAGTGTGAACAAGGCCCACCAGTTACTGCAGGAATCCTTGGGCCTCAGGACGGTTTAGGGAAGGCTAGTGGGGTGTGCAGAGCTGAGGTGCTCAAGACTGCCAGCTCCCAGGATGTGGCGGGCATCAACACCCCTCCTGGTGCTCAAGAAAGGAACTTGGCAACACCACGGTGCAGTAAAACTTCAGGGTGTTTATGGCAATCTTAGTCCTGATGTGTTTTCTTTTTCTAGCCATTAAAAAACCTGTGGGAAAGACAAAGGAGGAACTGGCTTTGGAGAAAAAGCGGGAGCTAGAAAAGCGGTTACAGGATGTTAGTGGGCAACTCAACTCCACCAAAAAGCCCCCTAAGAAAGGTGAGTGTCTTGTACACCACTGCAAATTTACTTTCATCTGCCTTTTTGACTGTCTTGACAAGTAGAGCTCAGACTTACACATCTTTAACCTTCAACTTGATTCTGCAGCAAGTGAGAAAACAGAGTCGTTGTCGGCACAGCAAGTAGCGGTGTCCCGCCTCAGCGCTTCCAGCTCCAGCTCAGACTCCAGCTCCTCCTCGTCCTCTTCCTCTTCTTCAGACACCAGTGATTCGGACTCAGGCTGAGGGGCCAGCCCCAATGGGGCAGGAGGCTCCGCAGGACGGGACCCTTAGACCGCCCTGCCCCACCCCTTCCCCCTTGCTGTGACACTTCCTCATCTCACCCCCTCCCCCCACTGTAGGAGAGCTGGCTCTGCAGGGGGGAGGGATGCAGGGACATTACTGAAAGAGGGACATAATGGACAAAAGATTGAGTTCCCAGCCCTGTTGAGTAATCTCTTGGGTATAGAGCCCCCATTCAAAATGGGGCAGGGCAGGTGTACAGGGTGAGTGAAGGCCCGGATAGGGAGTGACCCGAGGCCGAAGCTGCCCGCCCTGTTCACTTCTAAAGGCCCAGGTGGTTCTAATTTATTTTAAGCTAGGCAAGGCTGCGGGGTGTGGGTCGTGGTCCCCTCTGCCTCCATGGGGAGGGAAGAGGGGAGCTCATTTTTTACGTTGACATTTTTTTCTACTCTGTTTTCTTTCTCCATTTGGGGCCACGGGGGGTTTCTGTCATCTCCTCATTTGGTCCCCTGGATTGTCTTTGTTGATTCTAACTTGTAAATAAAGAAAATATTATTCGAGTTTTGAGTTAACATGTTTTGTGGTGCTTCAAAAGGAACATGATAGCATTGTTGGAGAATTTTGAGGGAAGTATTCCTGAGGTGAGAAAAAGGCAGAGCCATCTGTCGTTGGATTGGGTCTTAACTTTTAAACAAACCAGTAGGTTGTTGCTCTGATAAAAGTAAATGCATCTGCCCCCCTTGTAAAATGAATCCTTCAAAAGAACCTTCACGTTCATGATTTGCTTTGGTTTCAATAAAGCAAACCCCCTAGCTCATTCATACCTTAAAAGAACTTAGGACTCAAGACTTGAGGTGGCCTCTGAGGGTGTGTTGTCTCTTGGACACTTGTAGTGCGACAGGGATGGGAGGCAGCCAATAGCCAGTACTCAAAATCTGCCTTGAAGGTAATTAGTATTGTAATTTGCTGCATTGGCTTTGAATTTCAGGGACAGAGCCTTGCATAGTTTATTAATAGAATGCCAATTTAGAGCATTCCAGCCAAATTCAAATCACAAAAATATCTCCACAAGTCAAAACTTGCCTTGCTTAGGAGGGGAGCTGAACATGAATAGGGAGCTGGGATGTGTGGGTTCTTGGATTTGGGGCTTCCATATTTAGCTTAGTATAGTTGACCACAGGAGAAATCTGAACTTTGAAATAAAGGCTTCAAATTAGGAATGGAACGTAAATGGTTTACTCTGCCATAAGTGCTGTAAGGAACAAGGTATAGGGTAGTTCTAGTGGAGATGTGATGGTTTGAAAGTAGCAATAAATTGGGCTCTAGCAATCCTCCGCCCTTCACTGCATATTGGGACTTCCAACAGAGCTAAAACTAGTGCATTTATTTCTGGATTCTATTACGAATTCTCAACAAATTGGGGCCTGGGCAACAATTTTCAAAAGTTCAGGAAATGGTGATAGTAGCAAGGATTGAGAACTGATCTGCTTCACTTAGTATTAAAAGGGAAGAGGCCCCTGACTGGGAATTGTGACCAATTTAAGTGTTGGACCAGTTCAAGTGTGGATCTCTGAGTGAGCTCACCTCCCTTTGAGCTCTGGTCCTCTTGAGAAGAGGGATAAAAAGATGTTGAAAACTCAGAGGCACTTTACTAATAGTTTTGTTGTCATGGTGGGATAAGAATTATTTAAGCCTGGAAGACAATAAAGACTCAGGTTATGCCTTCATTTAGATGCAGGTCTATATGTCTAGCACTCCAAGCATGTTCTGAGAAGACAGAGTTCTTTGGAAGAGAAGATAATGCTGGGGGAAATGGGGGGCAGCAGGAAACCGACCGAGATGGATTGACTCCCTAAAGAAGCCTGAGCCTATAGGAGCTGAGCAGGGCTGCTGAGGACGGGATGCTGGACGGAGGGTTGCCCAGAGTCAGCTGACTGGCATATACCATCTCATTTCAGAAGGAATTTTAAGGTTTGAATTGGATTAGCTTGGGGAGGAGGCTAGTTACAAAATCTTTGACAAACTAGCTGCATCCCCCTCTGTTGTATACTCAAGATTTTTTTAAAGTGTAGCATGGGAAAAAAAATTCAGCTCTCAAAAGATGTGTTTTTTACTGTACATTTGGAAACACCATAGAGTTTCTATAAACAGAACAATCCGAAATGCTGTGAGGAGGCCTGGCTCATCCCTGACTGTAGAACAGGCTGAGACTGGGAAAGTGGCCTGGATCTGTGTTACACCTCCCCACCCATTAGTAGACAGACAGTTCACATAGGTAGGTGGATTTCCTGACCACCAACTTGGAGTTCTTGGCCCTGTTCCCTGACCCTCGAGGTTTCAATTTGGGCCAGTCTGTGCTTTGATTTACTTTCTACCTTAGTTCAAGTCCCAGCTCTATACCCTATCCCATCCCCTCAGGAGTCACAGTGCCATCTTAGTTGGAATTATTGCTTCCACAGTCAACCAACCTCCATCACAACCAGGAGTCCTGGAACTGCAACTCTGGAGTCCTGCTGTGTGCATTATTTCCTCCCATGCCCTTCCCAGCTCTTGGAATCCTGTTCCACTGCCTCTGCTTTTTTTTTTTTTAATTCACCTCATGCCATTTGCTCCTCTGAATAATTCAGTTAACATTTTACTGAGTTCCTCCGATTGCTTTCTATTTTTCAACAAACACCATTAGGTCAATAGACCTAGACACTGCCAAGCTCTGTTAAGTCAGGAGCTGTGCGGATGAAGATAGAAGACTAGGTTCTGTCCTCAGGAAGCTTGCTTTATCAGTACAGTTCCATCATTAGCTATCGTGGTTACAGTGATTGTACTAACTGGCTCCGAGAAAAAGGCATGACTTGATCTACCCAGACTATTCATCTATTGAACCCCAAAATGTGGACCCCAGTCCCAGCCCTGCAAACCTTGCTCTTAGATTCTCTCAGGACTATCATTAGAAAGCCCTGCTCCCCTGAGGGACCAGCAGAGGGGCTCCTAGAACAAGAACAGAGATTCTGTGGGACTCGCCCAAAATAACCTTGAGGGAGGTCTCCCTGAGCAATGACAGAGCTGCTGTGATAGGAAGCCTGGAAAGAGATGTGGGAATGGTAGAAGAGGACTGCTCTGATGTTTCCATGATCTCACATCTTTGCTTCTCTCCCCTTAACTGGTGCTGAAGCAGCAAGAATAAAAAGGGGAGTGCTTTCAGATAAGGCCGGAAAGACAGCAAGGAGAACATTTTAGGCCACAATAAGAATTTGAATTTTTATCCCAAAGACTTTAATAGCAGCTCACATTTATTATTTACTATGCCAAGCACTGTACTAAATAAATAAATAAATAAAACCTGTAAACTCATTTCATCTGCATTATAGTTCTGTGAGGTCTTATTTATCCCCATTTAACAGGTGCAGAGATGAGGCACAGAGGGAGGTTAAAGAATTTGCCCAAAGTCGCAACACAGCCAGCGAGTGCCGGAGGTGGGATTTGAACTCAGCCGCCTGTCTCCAGGAACTACTACACTAGAATTCCACCACTGTGGGCTGGTGGGAAGGTTGGAGACAATACTCTGAAGAAATTGCAGTTGGGTTTGTGGGGTGTCAAGAATGGATGTAGGGTGATAATTTAGAAAGCAATTGCAGCGGTGGGTCCCAGCAGGTGCAGATGGAGAGGCAACGATGTAAATGAAGAGACACAGATTTGAAAGGTACGTGGGAGACAGAGTCGATGGTACTATCTGAAGCGTCTTATTTTACCTCTGTACACCAAAGGAAGGGCAGAGCTGTATATATCTCTGGGATCCCTCAGAGCTTTGCAGTACTGGACGTTTGATAGTTTGTTCACTAAATGAGTGCCACCTGGCTGACGCGCAGGTGCGAAGGAAACTCTCGCATGGCTGGAGGAAGGGGCGGAGTTTTGAGGCGCTCATTGATGTGAGAGCCACAGAGGGTCTTTGGTGCCACCTGGTGAGCACGTTACCCATCACGTCCCCCTGAATTTATTCTAGGCATTTTTGTGCCCTCCCTCCCATCTTTAGGCTCTACTTTCCTTTCCTTCTTACTTCCCTATACTTCCACCCTTGAAACATGAGCTTCACTTCTCTGACGCAGAGGGCCTTATCGCCTTTGACCTCTGAAGCATCTGTGCTCCTGACTCCTCTGACACCACTTGCTCCTGGCTCTCATACTTTTCAGACATGCCTGCTTGGTCTGCTTCTCAAATGCCTGCCTCAGCCTTCCGTGAGATGTCGTCGTCTCTTGTGTTAACCTTCTTCGGTCGTCTTCTCCTTATTTGCACATTATTTCTAAGCAATTTTACCCATTCCTCTGGAGGCAACTCCCACCACAAAATCTGTCTCTGTTCCAGACTTTGCTTCAAAGTTCCAAGGCTGTTTTAGCTGCCTGATGGCAGCATCCCACAGGCTCCTGGCACTCATTACGTGTCCAGAAAAGATCCTATCTTTCCCCCCAAATATGTCCCTCTGTGACTGATCTGTTTATGTAACAAGCACTCATACAGAACTCGCTAATGTGCCAGGCACATATGAGCACCTTTACAGTCAAGTCCTGACAATAACGCCAGGAGGTTGTGTACTCATCACCCTTTTACAGATGAGGAAACTGAGGCCCAGATATTTAGTAACAACTCTACTGTAGATAAGTAGTAGCAGAGCTGGAATTATTAGTGTATCATTATTCTCCCAGTCATTTGGGCCAGAGCCTGGTCTGCCTAGAATTCTGCCCCGTGCTCGCTTGCCCTCTCCTTGGTCATCCATCAAGGCTGTTGAGATTTCCTCTATCAGTTCTCTCCTATCAGTGCCCCCATCAGGCTGGACTGTCACAACTCTTTTTTATGAGTCTTCTACCCACAGTCTCATTTCCATCTGATTAATCCATCCCCCACACTGTAGCTGCCAGAGAGATCCTTTCGAAAATAAACCTGATCATGTTGCTTATTACCCTTAAAGTTGAAAGTCCTTTGCAAGACCTCCAAACCTCTGTCTAGCCCTTATCACCTCTACAAGGTTATGTCCCTCATTCACCCTTCCTTGAACTCTGTGCTAAACTCAGAGCAAAAGATGGGCCTTTTCAGATGGGCCACTGGGCCTTGGTACATGCTGCTCTCCGCCTGGAATGTCCTCTTTCTCCCACCAGCAAAGTCTGCATAATCCCCAAAACAACTACTTATCCCACTACAAATACTTTTCTAACTGTCCTCCATCCTTTGTGACACATACACACATACCTTCCAAGGGACCTCGCTGAGCTTCTAACTCTGTACTGGGCCCTCCACTCAACCACTCCGCTGTCTCCAGACTCCAGCAGGAGTCCAGCATTGAGTTAACGTGGCCCCTCTGTCATGGCTGTCTGCTCATCAGCCTTGAAGAACTCCCCCAGTGAACAGCTAGACTGAACTTCTAGGTTCACACTTCCTTCCTCCTTAATTTTGTCCCCTTGTGCATATATGTCTCCCCAGCTCCCTTGTGAGGTAGGGACTATCTTGTTCTTTTTTTTTTTAAGATTTTATTGGGGAATCGGGAGAGGGGAACAGACAAGTTGTCCTTTTGTTC